AAGAATTTTTAAGGGTGTAAAATGAATCCTGAGACCAACAAGTGTGAGAACTGCTGTTCTACGTGTAACTGAGGTGAGCCTGAGCTAGCTGCCCCTGGCACTTTGCAATAATCTGCAAACTCCTAGGAATTAGTTTCTTCTGGCGCAAGTAGACAGGCGCCCTCTGGTGGACGCATAAGGTATTGCTTGGCAACGCAAAAGAGTTCGCTGAAATTCTAAAACGGAGGCAGAGACGGTCTCATGAAATGGGGACTTTATTTCAGCACTTTAACAACTCTGAACTATGCCTCCTCTCCTGCACATGCACACACACACACACACACATTCTTTCGGAAACCCACAGTCATAGTCACACACACAAAATAACACACAGACATACGTAGATGTTCACAAATACAGTCACACAGACACACAGACAAAATCAAACGTGCTCATTTACACACAATCTCTCACACAGACCCCCATACATACACACAGAAATACTGTCACACACACAAAGAGACACAGCTTCACACACAGACACACTCATATAGTCATACCCACAGACACACTTTCACATACACACACACACGCTAAAAATAGCACATCGTTAACAACGGGGACTAAGTAAATGAACACCATCCTCTATTTTTAAAAAAAGATTGTAATGGAAAATGAGTTTCTTCCCAAAGCCATTAAATAAACGTTGAACAAATAATTAAGATGAATCTAGGTTTGGCAGCGTGCCCAATTAGAGGCCCACAATCCCTTAGCTGAAGTCCTTGGGGACAGACGCGTTTCAGAACTCAGAAATGTTCTAATTTTAGGAGGCTAATTCTGAGCGAATGCCGTATATTATGTAACACTCCCAGGGGCTTGAAGCCGACCCCTCTCCATCAGACATGTTAATATATTTGCAGCAAAACGTGTGAAAATTCACGCCAACGGAGATAAAGACTGTTACGAATGCATATTAGCTGGTTTGCCACCACGTGAGTCTGGGCCAAAATAACCCCCTGAAGAAGAAAACAAAAAAAAATTTTTGTTGTTTTCAGGGATGTTTGAAATTCGGAATTTCAAATAAGGAATAGCGGATTCTATCCGCAGGCCCTTCACACCGCATCTACGTATACTCTCGTGAATCTTCGACTTCAACTTGGACGTAGAGAGGACGCCAGGAGCCTGGGGACGGCGGCTCTTTAGCGTCCCCTCCTGGCAGCCCCAGTCCTTGCAGTTTGGCAGAGGAGTTGGGCTGTCTACGGGCTTGGCCAGATACCACGGTAGGTGCTGATTGGTCTAAACCTTCAGCGTAATCCCGCCTTCACTTAACAGTGAGTGGCTCAGGGACCCACATCTTAACCAACTAGCAACTGACAGGGACAGGTCGCTGGCACAAGCATTGGCTCTGGGGTTATCATGTGGCCCAAGCTGGTTCAATCAGATTGAAGGAAAACCCTTGAACTCCTAGGAGGGACCAGACCTCCCTATCTCTGAAGGAAGGTAATGAGCTCTCAGGTGCCTGGATCTGTGGGCACCAGGTGAAGCTGCCTGGGGATAAGGCCAGAAAGATCCGGGAACAGTTTAGATCCCTGTGGTGGCCATGGAATGGCGCTGAGCTGCTCTCCCTTTAAGAGATTCTGCTGCTGACAGCACAGCTATGTGACAGCTCTACCGCATTGGTGCCAAGGCCATGCCTCCCTTGGGCTCAACACAGTGGGTACTTACACCAGTCCATTGCAGCCCCATCCAGGAGTCCTCTGATGGGCAATTTCTTGCTCAAGGACAGCTCCATAGACACATAAACCCCACCCCACCCAGCGAGGTACAGCCAGAGGCTCCCCTGACCCATTCCCTCCTTCTTTTTTTATTTTAATGTTTATTTATTTGGCTGCATTGGGCCTTAGTTGCGGCAGATGGGATCTTCGATCTTCGTTTGGGCATGCAGGATCTTTACTTGCAGCATGCAGTCTTCTAAGAGATTGAGTTCCCCACCAGGAATCAAATCCAGGACCCCTGCATTGGAAGTGCAGTCTTAGCCACTGGACCACCCGGGAAGCCCCTCCCTCTCTCCTTTCACAACTGTCAGACTGATGGGTGATGGTTGCACACATTGTAACTGTACTTAATGTCCTGAATTGCACAATTCAGACTATTCAAATAGTAACTTTTATGCCATATGTATTTCATACACACACATTTTGACCACCCACAGCACTTTTCCTCTTAATCACCACCCTGATCTAGCCACCGTCGTCCCTCATCTGACTCATCACAGTGATTTCCTTTCTGGGCTCCCAGCTTGCACCCCCACCCCCTACATTTCATTCCCCACGTGGCAGTCAGAGGGTCCCGTTAAGAGGACCTCTTAAGAGAGGTTAAGCCTCCACCTCACTAAAAGCCAAACTCCTCACCCTGGCCCATGGGGCTCTGTACAAGCTACCTCCATTCTCTTTTCTCCCACAAGCCCCCTCATTCACTCTGCTCTGACCACACTGACATCATTGCTGTTCCTTGGACAAGCAGAGCACCTCCAGCCTCAGGGCCTTTGCGCTTGCTGTTCCTGATCCCTGGACCACTATTCCCCCAAGACCTGCAGGTCCTGCCCTCACTTCTCTGAGGCTTCTAGCCAGTAACCAGCAACTTCATCACTCCCTATCCCCTGATTCGTTTTCTCCTTTGTGTTTATTATTACCTGACATAACACATACATAAGTTATTCATCTCTATTTCTTGTCTGTCTCCCCACCGATATACCAGCTCCACTGAAAGTATAAATGTCTCCCTATTTTGTTTCCTACTGTTTCCCCCGTACTTAAAATAGAGCCTGGCACATGGTAAATGCTGCATAAATATTTGTTAAATGAAAGATTAAAAGATAGCGACCAAAACAGAGCCTGAGAGGAACAGGAAGAGAGAAAAGAGACCAAAGAGGGAGGGGGCGTGGAGGAGATAGGGGAGTAAGGGAAGCTGAACTAGGGGAGAAATGAGAAGGGGGGTTGTGTCGAGATGTTTAGGAGAGGGGACTTCCCTGCTGATCCAGTGGTTAAGAAGCCACATTTCCAATGGGGGAGTGGGGAGGGTGCGTTCCATTCCTGGTCAGGGAAGATCCCACATGCCATGTGGCGCAGCCAAAAGTTTAAAAAAAAAAAAAGATGGAGGAGAAAAGTGAGGAAGGGAGAATAGAGAGCTGAAGCAAGAGCAACAGAGCTGAGGGAATGAGTCAGAACAGAGCAAGGGATAGAAACAGAGACATGGAGAGAGATGAGAGGGGGACACACACAAACGCTGAGAGACAAAGAGACAAATACAGACAAAGAGAAAGAGGATAGAGGAGAAGGTGGTGAGGGAGACATAGAGAAAAGAGCGCAGGAAAGCAGGCTGGGAGAAGAGCACTGAGAATCAGAGGGAGGGGAGCCGGTGGCAACAAGGATGGAGTCCCTCCCTCCAACTCACCATTGGCTGGTGTCCAGAGCTCTGGACTGACTGGCAATCCCGTGGGATCCAAGCTGTGGCTTTTAAAGCCCCAGGGACAGAGGAGGGTGGAGAGCGAGAACATGTCATGCTACTCTAAAGGCTTCAGATCATCAGCTTCTTTAATCCTCAGAAAAACTTTATGAGATAAATACTATGATCATCTTCATTCTACAGGACCAGAGAGGTTGAGTTAGCTGCCCACAGTCACACCGTTAGTGAGAGGAAGAGCTGGGATTTGAATCTGGGTATGTTGGCCCTAAGATCAGTGCCCCTAACCACCATCTACGCTAAGTGGAAAGGGGTGCCGGCTTCCTGAATTCCATTTATCCTGAAGACACCCTCTGGGAAGTGGTGCTGAAGGGGTAGAAGGAAGGAGGGGAGGTAAACAGTGATGTTCCTAGCCCGGTACAGATGGACAGCTGTCCCAGTCTGAAGGAGGCTCCGCTTCACCATCCTAAGAAAGTCTCCACTTCAATGGAGGTGGTCAGACAGGAAATCACTTCCTGCTTATAGGGTCCTATACCCTGCCCAGGGCTAGACCTTAGTCGTCTAGGTGGGAAAACAGATTCAGTCACCTCTGACTCTCTTAGCAGGATTCAGATTGTTCTGCCTTGGTTTGCAGGCAACATTGCAGACCAGAGAGGCAGTACTAAGCTGCAAAGGCAGCTGGGTGCTTTGATAAGTTCCTCTGATTTCCAAAGGGGTCCTACCACCACCCTGTCCATGCTCATCTCTCAGCTCCCAGGAACATGAACTCATGTTCTTCCAGCAGTATCTTGGCTTCTCCAGGTGATTTAGCTTCCGTGCCGGACACTACAGTTACACAAATCACAATCCCCAGAAACCCAGTTCTCGCTGAGATCACCCCAACTCTTGTCTCCTGTGCTGTTACCGGAGGCCAGCCCTTTTCTCCCCTCCAGAGGCACTTGTCCTCTGCATGCATGCAAAAATCTGCCAAGCCCTGCACACCGTCTGACCTTCAACTACCTTGTTGCGGATAAGCGTCTTCTCCTCACCCCAACCCAGAAAATACACGATGGCGATGGAAGAAGAAAATGACCCCCACCCCACCCCGGGAAGGGGAGAACGCACACAGCCCACCCAGGGTGAGAGGCGATGCCCAGATGCCAGGAAGGGTTTGCCTTCACAAACTTGAGAGGGGGTGCCCTCTGCAGACAACACGACAAACACAGCACGAGGCAGCTGGGGCTGGAGTTTATTGCAGGTGGATAGATGCACACGGAGATTCAGGGAGGGAGGAGAGGGGCCGGCTGAGGGCTCCGTGCACAGAACCCTACGGCGGGAGGAGCAGGAGGCAGTGAACAGTATGGGGTCTGCCTGGTGGAGTACCCGGCCTGACGGCGGAGGAGCTGCGAGGAGCAAGGACCAGAGCCGGCTCCCCTTCGCCCCCCATTCTTCAGGATGACGGCTCCGCAGACGCTAGACGATGTCATGAAGAGGGAGCCAGACACCATTCGGGACCGGCGCATCCGCGGACGGCACCGGGCTCTCGAAGGCTGGCGGTCCATCTTGGGTGAAAAGGAAGGTTACCCGGGTCCTCGCCCCGCCGCGGCCTCCGGCGTCTTCCTCAGCGTCTGGCGGCTCGGGCGGCGGCGGCTGGGGTCACTGTGGCGGCGGCGGCGGCGGCTGCGCGGCAGCTCGAGCTGGGGTCTCGGCCCGCTAGGGGCTCCCAGGAGGCAAGAGACCGAGGCGGCGGCGGGCGCCGGGGCAGGCAGCGCACCCGCGCGGGCGCCGCACGGAGAGGACTGCGCGCTGGGCGGCGGGCCGGCTGGGGCTGCAGGGGGCCGCGTGGGAACCCAAATGAGACCGTAGTAGACAGCGAGCAGCACGGCAGCCAACGAGACGCAGAGAAAGTAGGCGCAGACCGGGGCTAGGCGCAGCCAACGGCCCCGCGGGCCCTCGCTCAGCCCTGCGCCACCCGGGCTCTCGCCGCCGCCGCCCACGCAGCTCGTGCCCCGCATCCCCGCAGCCCACTCGGCCCGGAGCCACAGCCCGCACAGGCCCCGCCCCCTCGGCCCGCCCCCTCAGGAGGACCGCCTCCGCGCTTAACTCTCCACGTCCAACCCCGCCCCCGCCAGCGTGGCCACGGCCCCGCGTGGGCGGGCCTCCTCCGGGTTCTAACTCTCCCCCGCCCTACCACGCCCCCGCCAGCCCGAATGGGCGGGCTTCTTCCGCCCTCTAGGCCCGCCCCCTCCTCGGCCTCTGCCCAAACACTAGCAAGCTAAGGCTTAACCACAGCGTTCTGACCCCGCCCCAAGCATGCAATACCTCGCTTTTTCTCAAATGCTGGTCTCTGCCCAGCCGACTCCTACCAGGCTTCCGTGTTATGCCCGCCCCGGAGGTTACCACCGCTCTCTTCTCTCCTCCCCGCGCCCTACCCATCCCCTTTCGGAACTCAGACTTCTCCTCGGCATCTAGTTCCGCCGCTCCCTTGCCAAGCTCAGGCCTTTTAAGTCCTGCCCCAGTTGTAATTTGCCTTTAGCATTCGATTCCGTCTTCTCCCCCTACACTCATCTGTCTTCAATCCAGATTCCGCTTCTTTTCTCCTCCTCACTCCACTAGTTTGAGCACCCCATTCTAAACCAAGCTCTCTGCCGCTGGCTGCGCCCCACACCGGCGTTAGGGATTCCCATCTAAATCTGCGCTGTGGTTCCACCTCACTTCCTAACACCTTTCCTTGTTTTTAACTCCATTAGAATGCGGGCCCCAAACATCCTAACCACGCCCTTCGTTGGACGCGCCTCTTCCTCCGTATTTTGTGTCTTCAGGTATAAGCTCAGACCCCGAAGCTCCAGCTCCGCCCCACACCCCAGTCACGTCCCCTCCCCATCTCCTCCCCCACCACCCTCAATTTCTCCCTCTCTAAAGCCTTGAGGTCCAAAGCGGGCTCCAGGGAGGATAGAGCACAGCTCGGAGATCCAGACTAAACCCCTCCTGCCGCCCCCTCCCCATCAAGGCGGGGAAGCGTCAGTCCCCTCCCAGCAGCGTCTTCAGGAATTCGGGGAGGCCTGTGGGGGGGGGAGGGAAGATGTATCAGGGGGGTGGAGGAACAAAGAGCCCCTTCCTCCCGCCTCTGCCGCCACGGACAAGCCCGCCAAGCACAGCAACCCTGCCTGCTCCCGCCAGAAACACAGTTCAAAGGTTAGCGGAAGCACTGCGTTTAATAGGGACCAGGCTGGCGGCCGGGGAAATCAGGTCCTTCAAGAGTCACCGGTTAATAAGCCAGCCCCAGATATAAGCTCCTGGAGGCGGAAAACGGCCCGGGGAACTGGCACCTACACCCCCATGGCCTCCGAAAGTGGGTTAACTAGGGGGCGTCTCAGCCACCTGGTGTCACTGCGCTCCCTATTTGTGAGACTGGACTATTGCCCTGGCCCCACCCGGTTCACTATCCCTGGCTCCTCCCCCCGCCCTTACATTTAACCCTCTCCTGGCTGGAGTGGCGGAAGCAGAGGGCAGAGGAGCGAGGCGGCGGAAGGTTAGTGCAGAGCGCGGAGGCCGCAGTCGGCGGGCGCGGTCAGCGGGCGGCCCCCGGTGGTGAAGCGGCCGCCACCACTTTGCAGAAACGCACCCTCTGGAAGTCGGCGATCTCTGCCGTCTCTTGGCCCTCGGGGTCCGCCTCTGCGAAGAGAAGGGGCGGTCATCTGAGGGCAACAGTAACCCCGCCCCCCCACCGCCTGCCCCCGGACACCCTAGCCCCGCCTCTCTACCCCACAAAGCCTGGCTGCCACCCACCCTGCGTTAAGCGGTTTACGAGTCTCAGGCTCCTTTAATCCTCGGAGAGGATCTACGCAGACACACCCCCCCCCCAACCCCGCAACAGAACCCTGTTTACAATCGAATACATAATACAGGGAGATCGCAGTCACGTGACCCAAAAACAGCTCTCCCCGTACCCCGACCTCAGCCGCCATCCTAACCTCTGTCCTCTCCCATCCCAGTCTCACCCCACGGACATAAGCCAACCTCTAGCAAGCCTGCCCTACAGGATCTACCTCCACTTCCCCTGCCCACCTTCTGAGTCCTAACCAGACCTTCCTTGGCTATGCCCCCAAGTCCTAACCCCCTGCTCCTTGGGGAAGTTGGAGGTCCACAACCCGGCTTCCGCCTGGCGGAGGTGGAGACTGGGTTCGCCTGTTGCTCCAGGTCCGCTAGACGCCACAGTTTTTACCCCGATATTTTATGTATTTCTAATTTACCCCATTTACTAATTTACACCTCAAAACTGTAATCACGCCCACGGCTAGATCCATTACTCCTCCCCGGTTCTTCATTTTTGACCGATTTGTATTTCAAATCCTGCTCTAAGCTCCTCCCTATCAATTTAACCCACCCCCTTGTTTCTAGATTACAGAACCCCTGGGGTAGCCCTCTACCTCCTAATCCCACCCTGGCTCCACCGCCTCACCCCCAAACGCCTCTGGGAAGTCCTCCCTGTAGCTCCACCCCCTTGGCCCTGGATTCGTTCCCACCCTGCAGCCTAGCCCCGCCCCCCTCACCCCATCCCCGGACCAGCAGCTACCCCACACCCATAATGGAGACGTATCCACTCCATTCTACTGCCCAAACCGTCCTCCCCTCAACCCAAGAGGAAGCGGAAGGAAGGCCACCTCCACCACCCCAGCTACTCCCCCAACCTGGAGCTGCCTCAGACCCCTCCTCTTCAGCTTTCTGGGTTCCTGGGGCGCTGGGCCCACTCTCCAAGGAGGAAGGGGCTGGCTGGTCACCTCCTGGGGAAGGGGGAGGCCCAGTCAAGCCCATTCCCCTCCAAATACCCACCTCCCCCCTCAAGACAGAAGGCTCTGAGGGAGTGAGAGGAGGTTTAAGGACACACGTGGGAAGTGTCATTTGAGGAAGTGATCTCTTTATTGGGGAGGGCGCTCTGAATGGCTCAGGGCAGGGCAGGATCTGGGGGTGGACCTTCTAGAGACAGGCGCGGACCGTCCTCCCTAGCCACCAGGGCACAGAGGGTCCCCCATGCACCCCGTGAGCACACACACAAGCAGCCAGCTTCATGCATTTTCAAACGGCCAGGCCTCACCCGGAGAGACGGCATCTGCTGGGTGGGCAGTCCGGGGAGAATTCAGCTCCATCTCTTCACCCCAGTTGGGAACAGGCTGATGGCCCCCAGGAGGCGAGAAGGGGCTGGAAGGCGTGACGGGGGCCTGGGGGAGCGGCAGGGGCTCTTCCGGCCTGGCGGGCTCTTTGTCACCGTGTTCCCTGGTGGGGCTCCCGCTGGGGCTCCCGCTGGGCTCAGCCTCCTCGCGTTGGTGATCTCCAGCTGGCTCTTCTTCCTCATCAGCCTCCTCTTCTTCCTCTATCTCCTCGTCATCCTCACTCACGTCTTCCCACTCCTCATCCTCCCCGTCCTCCCCCTCATCCTCACCCTCGCCCTCCTCGCCCTCATCCTCAGGAGGCCGGTGGGCAGGGGCCGGGGTCTCAGGCAGCTGTGAGGAACACAAGGCAGGTCAGGGAGAGGCTGCAGGCCCCAGGCACCCCCACGCCGTGCTGCCTGCCAGGAGCTGACAGCTTGCCCTACCTGCGTGGGCGCCTCCTTGGGGGGAGCAGGTTGCGGGGGCTCAGGAGCTGCGGACACGGCCTCCTTCGTCTCCCAGCGGTCATCGTGGTCACTGGAGGGGACAGAAGAAAGTAATAAAGCCCAGATGGACAGGAAGAAGGGGCTTCCCACCTCAGGCTCCTCCCCAGACACAGAGCTGCAAAATTCAACAGGTGGAGAGAGCGGGTCTTCGGGATTTCCAGACAAGGAGCCAGCAGGCTAGAGTACCGAGGAGGAAATAGGGCGTGTGTCCCGGGTGTCAGAGGTGGCCAGGTAGAGAGGGGCCAGGTGGGCAGAAGAGATGGGTGGGAGGGGTGGAGGGGACAGATGAGGGTAAAGCAATAGCCAGGCCCCGACGCCCCCAAAACCAAGTGCCTGACCCACAGGGAGACAAGTGCCTGAGACAGATAGGGAAAGAAAGGACAGAAATATCCCCCAAACACACAAGCCAGAAAACAACCAGGGACAGAGCCACATAGTCCCGCTGGGCTGTGCATGTCCAAGGGGAAGGGGGCCCCCACCTGTAGGCACGGGAGGCTGCCTTAGGCTGGGGTCGGCTGCTCTTCTTCTTTCTGCGGCTGACCTCAGTTTTGTGCTGGGACAGGAACTCCCTGAAAGTGGGCGGCTTGGGGGGCCGGGCCCAAGCCTGGTCATCTGCAACAAAACCCAGGGGAAGTCGGGGGTGGAGGACACGGTACAAGCTACCCCTATCCCACCCTGACCCAACACCCCGGCCCAGCCAGCTGCCTCACCCCACCCAAGAACTCCCACTCACCATAGCGGTGGGATGGTTCTAGAGCCACAGCTGGGCCATCCTTGAACCTGGGGAAAGAGAAAGGGGTGAGCAGGCAGCTGGTGGCACAGAGAGAACAGGTAGGGCAGGAAGAGTCGCCGGGGGAGGTGGGGGCCACGGTTAGAAACCAAGATCACAGATGGCAAGGTCCTCAACCCGAATGGGGAAGTGTCAGTGATTAAAGTACAGGGTCAGGTGAAAGACAAGAGGCAAATGTGACACAGCAGTACAAACGCAGAAAGAAAAATGATTAGCGTTTGACAGCAATTCCCCACCTCAACAAAATGTGAGAGTACAATATCCCCAGCTTCCTGTCCAGCCGCATCTCCCACCACTCTCTCTCACCTCCCAAGCTTAGCGAGTTCTCCTACCACATAGAGCTCCTGCCTCATGGCCTTTGCACGTGCTACTCCTGGGGCTTTCTTTCTCCGATCTCTCCGGGGCCCGCTCCATTACCTCCTTCAGGCCTCAGCTCAGAGGCCTTCCTAAACTTTCCAATCACATATTATTACATATATTGTGTTGCATGCTAAGTTGCTTCAGTCATATCCAACTCTTTGTGACCCTATGGACTGTAGCCCACCACGCTCCTCTGTCCATGGGATTCTCCAGGCAAGAATACTGGAGTGGGTGGCCATGCCCTCCTCCAAGGGATCTTCCTGACCCAGGGACTGAATCATCATCTCTTACATCTCCTGCATTGACAGGAGGGTTCTTTACCACTAGCCGCCTGGGAAGCCCAATTACATACATTATTTAGGTCTAAAACAGTAGCCTCCAACCCTCTCCACACTCCGCTTCATTATTCTTCAGTGTCTGACATTAGCTCTATTCACTGCACAATCTGCTCTATTCAATGCAAACGTGAGACTTGCTGCAGGCTGCTGTGAGGACGAAAGAGGAAAATAATTACTTTCTCAGTCTTAAGCCTAAGAACATCTCCGCAAAAGCTCACCTGCCTCCCCCCTTAGAAAGATCAGCTACAGTATCTGTGCAAAATGTTTCTCATGCTGGCAAAGGCTTAGCTCACAATCCAAAAATAAATGCTCCGACCTCCAGGCACACAGACAAGATCCTCTTTCTTTAGCTAGCGCTGTGGCAAAGGATAGAGGATGATGTAAAAACGACAGCTGTCCATCTTAAGACTGCTGTTCAGTAGCTCTTCCAGAATCTTCTCCACCTTTGCTATGGCAGTTAGCCCTCCTGTGGATGATACCTTCGCTTTAAGTTTGAGTAATGGGATGTTTCCTGGGACCCAAAAGGCGACAGAGTCAGACCTGAGAATAATAATGCCACAGGGATAAGGTGCTTGGGTAGGTGGCGGACATAGGTTAGAGGGATGAAGGGAGGATGCCAAGGGGTCATCGCTGTAATTCTTCATGCCCTCCTTGCATGGGAACTCACATCCGCACCCATGGCCACAGAGCCGCTGCAGCACTACCCACAAGAATGGGCAGAGTTTAACTTCCTGCTGCAGCAAGGTGGGGTCTGCTGGCTAACATAATGAGAATGTGTGTCACTGTCCCTCCTGCACATCTGCCAACACTATGGCCAGTGCTTCCCCCAGTAGCCCCTGCCCTCAGCGCGAACCCCAGAATGCACACATCCCGGGTGGAAGTGAGTTCAACCCCAGCGGGACCCACAGCTTCCAGTCCAACCTGAATCAGCCCAACTTAGAAGACCCGTAAACACGAGAGAAAGAAATGTTTCCGGACTTCCCTGGCCATCCAGTGGTTAAGAATCCACCTTCCAGGGCAGAGGATTTGGGTTCAATCCCTGGTCGGGCAACTAAGATTAAGATCTACAAGCCTTGGAGCAACTAAGCCGGCACGCCACAAGAACTGAGCGCAGGCACCCTGGAGCCTGCGGGTCACAATGAAGAGGCTGCACACAATAACTAAGTCCCGAGGCAGCCAATACATAAATAAATAAATGGTTGTAAAAAAAGTATGGCTGAGTCCTTTTGCTATTCACCTGAAATTACCACATTTGTTGTTATATTGGGTATACCCCAATACAAAATGCTTTTGGTGTTTAAAAAAAAAAAGGAAAAAGAAACGCTTTTCTGTGCCCCTGAGATGGTGGTGGTCATGCACTGTTACCTAGCTCCTGCTAACTGATACACAGGATGAGAAACCGAGACGCCAAGGAGTCAGAAGTCAGAGCCAAGGCCGAGGAGCCCCCCAGGGGCGGGCAGGGCGGAGACTCACATGCCATCCGTCTTCTCGGCATCCCACTCCCGCCGCCACTGGCCGGTGGGCTTGCGGTGCCTCTGCAGACGCTCCTGGTCAATCTTCTCCCGCTCCTGCTTCCAGCGCAGGTACTCGGACCGCTCTCGGCCCGTCATGGAGAGCGTCATGTCCCCGGTGCTGCCCAGGCCGGCCCGGCGGCCCTGCCCCCAACAGATGGGCAATCAGGGCTCCGCCCACCTCTCTCCCCGCTGCACCCCCTCCCTGAGACCTCCAGAGCTCCTAGGTAGAGCCCCTGGCTCAAGGTCACAGAAGGAGGCGACAGGGTGGAGATCAAAGCCGTATCTGCTCACGCGCCACCTCAGAGAGGCCACCCCAGACAGATCCTTCTCTATTCTCCTTGCCCTCACCTGGGTGGGCTGCAGCCATCTTCCCAACATTCAGCATTATCTGACACCTTATTACATGGCCACTGATTTAGCCCCACCACCTAAAACAGCACCTGGCCCCGGGCAGGTACCCAGTAAACATCAGTAATGTTAGTAAGGAGGAAAATCACACCAACACACATCATAAAGCTACGAACAGAAAGCAGTATGGCCCTGGGGCAAACATCAACTGGAGGGAAGCCTGAGCGGTAGAGCTGCAGTCTCTCCCTGCTCTGTACCCGGCGTTCGACACACTTCCCTCCCCGTGGAACCCAGAGACTGGCTGCTGGGCGGTACTCGTGGCCAGGCCGCCCGCACCCACCTGCCGCTCCTGCTCAAGGCCATAGCGCACCCGCTCAAAGTCAGGGCCCCCCCAGTTGCGCCCATGCCGGCGGCTGCCTTCCCGGCGGTCCCGCTCAGGCTCCTCTAGGGGCCCACTGCGTCGCCGGGGATCGTCCAGGAAGTTCCGCACCGGGTTGGGCTCCAGCACACCTTCCTGCGGGCATGTGGAGTGTTAAGAGCACTCCCCCGACCCGGCGGCTCCGCCCCGCCGCCAGGGGGCGCCCGTGGCACTGACCCGCTGGTTGCGCTCATACTCCGCAATCTTCTCCATCTCCTCGTTCATCTTCTCAATGTTCTGCTTCCGCCGCTCCTCCCACTCCTTGTTTCGGGGAGGAGAGAACAGAGAGAGAGACAGAGCCTCAGAAAGAGCCACTCAATCCAAGCGTTTGTCACCATCTGAGGCTCTCTCCTTAGAGCTGTTATGCAAGGCAGCCTCTGGCTGGCACCTGGACACTGGCTTTCTGCACGTCCTGTCAACAGTTAACCAGTAAGCGGAGCTCCACATGCCTAGACTTTTTCTGCATTACAGTGTATGATGAACACCCAATTTCCTTCTAGGGTCTGGAATCTGGGTGTGTACTGTAGGCAGAGGGGACCTATGTGACCTGCCTCGGATAAGAAGCCTGGGCACTAGCTCTCTAATGAGTCCCCAGTAGATGAACTTTGACATATGTTGTCAATGAAGAATTAAGTGCAGCCTACGTGTCCTTGGGCTTCCCTGGTAGCTCGGTTGTGAAGAATCCGCCTGCCAATGCAGGAGACACAGGTTTGATCCCTGGGTGGGGAATATCCCCTGGAGTAGGAAATGGCAACCCACTCCAGTATTCTTGCCTGGAAAATCCCATGGACAGAGGAGCCTGGCCAGCTACAGCCCACGGGGTTGCAGACTCGGACACAACTTAGTGACTAAACAACAATTTGTGTCTCCACTGGACGCGGACTCTTGGAAGCTAGCGCCTGGTATCCTCCCGGCTCTGGCTCATGGGCTCTTTCCCTTTACTGCTTTTGCTCTGTATTCTTTCCTGTAATAAATCTCAGTTGTTAATCCTTCTGGCAAAATACTGAGCCTGGGAGAGGGGTTGGGGGACCCCTGCGATGGCTGCCACAGTAAAAACTTGACAGATGGCCAGGTGACCCCCACGATTCATTCTCCTCCCTTTCCTAGGTAACAATCCCCCCCCCCCAGGTGACAGAATTTTAAATGAGCAGGCGCCCAAGATGATGGGAATATTTGCACTTCCAAGAGTCAGCATACAAGAGAGAAATAAACTTCCATTTGATTAACGCCATGGCACTTTGGGTTCTTTCTAAACATCCTTAAGAAACATACATTGAGCGCTTAATCTGAGGGTTTCTATGCCTGATGTCACACGATGCTTATGAAAACCCTGATTTTCATTCCCGTTTAAGAGTGAGAACCTGGAATCTCCCAGAGGGGAAGTGAGCTGCCCAAGGACAGGGAACTCATAGAAAGTTGTCCCCTAAGCCACCAGGCTGGGCAACTTTCCCACTCTGCTAATCCGTGTGGTGGGGTGCTGAGAGCAGCTACGTTAAGAACCTCACCACTCCCTACCAACTAATTCAGGGAATGACACAGAGTGAGAACATGTACGCACGCGCACACTAATGACGAAAGCACGGGCGCATGCGCGCTGGGCAGAACCGACCTGATAGCACCAGAGACAAAGGGAAGGGAAGGCAGATGCCACAAGCACCCAGCAGAACGCAAAACAGGAGACAGAGAAAGAGACAGGGAGAGCACCCACAGCGCTGGTCTGGGGGAGAGAGGAAGAAGGGGAAGGGGTGAAAAAGAGCCAGAGCGAGGGTCCAAAAAAGAAGAGAGACAGTGAAAGATGGATGAAGCAGAAAATCCATTTGAGAGAAACAGCAACAGGACAACACTGAGCCTCCCAACGCACTTCAGGCAGACTTCAGCCCCCTCTCGGCTCCTACCTTGGATTTGCGGTCGGCATTCGAAGCATCGCCACCTCCAGAGAGATGAGGAGACCCCCTGCCCCGACCCCTCCGGCCGCGGCCCCCAGCACCTCCTCGAGGCTGCTCCCCGGGACTGTCTTCCCAGCTGCGGGATGTCCGGCCCATGCCTGCCCGGCCTCCGTGCTGAGGGGGGATCCGGCCTCCCTTACTGACCCCTGGAGGCCGAGGGGTCCCTGGAGACCTCCGGGAGGGACCCAGGTTCTTCTCCTGGAAAGGGGGTAGGGGGGAAAGGACAGTCACTGAGGCAGGGAGACCAGGACACCCCAGGCCCAGACGGCGGCTGCCAGGATGGAGGCCCCCACAGGCCTGGGGCAGCTGAGAAAGCTCTTAGGTCTCAACTCTCACCCCCTCCCAGTCCTCACGAGTTCCCACCCTGGAGTGGAGCTCACCATTTCCACTGCCACATTCTCCTTCTCCACTGAGCGGCCCTTCCGGGGAGCTGTCACTGCTACTCCCTCCAGTTCAGCTTTTTTCCGGTCCTCCTCAATCTCCTAGGAGATCAGAGATAGCAGGTATCAGGGGTCCTGTGTACCAGCCAGATTTCGACAGTCCCCTGAATATCTCCAAGTCTGCCCCAGCGCAGACCTCTGTCTGGAGCTCTAGACAAGAAAGCTGGTCACTTCTTCCCTCTAACAGCCCCAGGCTGTTCCCCTGCTCAGACCCTCTGAGCCAGTGTCAAAGGCTCCCCCACAGCCAATGGGGCTCCACAGGGTGTGGTCTCATTACCATCTCATCCTCATTTCCCACACCTCTCCTCTCCCTCACTGTGATCCTCTCACTGTGCCTGGAACATACCAGGTTCAAACCTGCCTTAGGGCCTTTGCACCTGCTGTTCCCACTGCCAGGAATGCCCCTCCTCCATAGAGTCTCCAGTCCCTCACCTCCTGCAGGTCTCTGCTCAAAACTTCCCTCCTCAGGAAAGCCTTCCCTGACCAGCTCGCCTGCCATTCTCCACACACCCCCACCCCGCCCACCCCGCCCCCTTCACGACATGACATTATGTCCATTTTGCTTCTTATCTGGCTCCTCCCCATAACAGAATCTACTCAACGTCAGGGATATCTGTCTGTTTTGTTCACTGATGTATACCCCAAACCTGGAACACTGCCTGGCACACAACAGAGGCTCAATATCCTTTTTTTTTTAAATGAATGAATGCATGAAGAATGAATAAATGAAACCTACTCCTCCTATCTCAGGGACAGCCCCACCACCTACTCTGTCACCTGTGACGGGGACCTGGGCCTCATCCTGGATCCTCTTCTCACCTCCTGCCACCGCCCATGTCACTGAGTCCCTCCCAACAGCCCTGCCCCAGGCCAAGGACCTCCTCTCCATACGTCCCTCTACCCCTCGCGCCCCCCCCCCCACAAAGTCCCTGCCCCACTTTCCTCCTTGTCTCGAGTGTCCTCTCCTCCCATCTACCACCACAGAGCAACCAAAGGAGTCTTCCTACGTATCTATTCTGACCTGGCCCCACTTCCACTCAAAGCCCTCGATGGCTCCCCAGTGTCCTTAGGAAAAAGTCCAAACTCTTAGCCTTATGGCCTTCTGGGCCCTGCATGGCTGGGCCCCAGCTGGTCTCTCCAGGTCAATATCCTCCAACTGACCCTCCAACTTTAAGCTCCAAGTTTTCACACAAACTGTCCCCTGTGTGTGATGTGTGTTCTGCTCTCCTTTTCGACTAGCTGGGACTTCCCTGGTGGTCTAATGGTTAGGACTCCATGCTCCGCTTCCATGGGCCTGGGTTCAGTCCCTAGTCTGGAAACTAAGACCCCCCACAGGACATGCTGTGCAGCCAAAAAATAAAAGACTGGCTAACACCTACTCACCTTTCGGGTCTCAGAATCCCCTTCTCCAGGAAGTCCTCCTTAATATCCCCCAGGCTGGGTGAAGAGCCCCACCCGGCCTCTCACAGAAGCCTGCCCTCCTCCATCCCAGCATGGCCCACTCTGGCTCATCACGGACTGAAGCCATGGCTGGGCCCCTACTGGCCTGTGAGCCCTGGAAAGGCAGACCTGGGGCCCCTCCATCCCCGCTGCCACCACAGTGCCACTGAGCAATGGGCCCTGGTGAATATTTGTGGACGAACAAATGAATGATGGAATGAAAGGAGGAATCCCAGGCTAAGGCCCTCAGCTTTTACCCTGACAGTGATGAGGAGTCATGAAAAGGTTTTAAGGAAGGGAGAGGTGAGGGAAACTCACTGCGGGGAGGAGAGGGGATGGGGTCTCCCAGGGCAGGGCTAGGGCACCTGGTAGCGCCGGATGAGGGCCTCATTCTTCCGCCGAAGAGCCTCGATCCTCTTGTCCAACTCAGCATCCTTCTCCTCCTTCGATTTCAGATCCAGTGTGGCTGACTGAGAGGGCGGGCAGATAAGAGGCTGAAAACCTTCACCCGCCCCAGGGTCTGCGAGTCGGGAACCTCTTCTCCCAAGCCCCCTGCCCCAAGGCTCAGATCTCAGAGACCCTACTTTTCTTCTCACCATTCCACTGGCAGGGTGGGCCCTGAGTCCCAGCAAACCTCCCCTGCGGAATCTGGACACAGCACTGGGGGCTCCTGAGGGCAGGGGGAACAAAAGGACTAAGGTCAATGGCTCCACTCAGTCTCTTCCTCTCCCAGACTGGGGGCTCCTCAATTGCATACACACACCCTTCACTCCAAGAGAACTGTTGCCCTCACACACACACAAACCCCCTTCACTCCAAGGAACACACACACACAACACACACACACCCTCTTCACTCCAAGGGACACACACACACCCTTCATTCCAAGGGAAACACACACACACACACCCTTCACTCCAAGGGAATTCTCGCCCTCACTCCGAGCCCCTCTTCTTGAAGCCCCTCTTCTAGCCCACCCCCTACCAGGAAAAGTTTAGACTCAGTCCTCTCCAGAGGGTTTTGGACCCATCCATTTCCTATGTAAACAATGTAGTCACACAAACCCTGGGAAAGTTCTGGGCCTGCCCCACTCTTAGGGAAACATCCCACACTTCTCCCTTCAAAACGAAAATCCTAGTTCAGTCTCCACACCCCTGTGCTGGAAGTTTAAAACCCAGGCCTCTACCCCAAGATAGCCTTAGGAAGAACCTCTTCCACGACCTGCCGCAAGAAAGCCTGACTCGCTGTGCCCAACCTGGTGCTGCTCACATCCCGCTTAACAGTCTACACCTGACTTCCCCAGGAACTTTAGCGACGTGTTATAACCCTACACTCAAAAATTAGTCAGAACCCCATTCCTATTCGCTGCCCCTACCCTCAGGGATATTAAAGCCCCGCCCCCCCCAGTACCCCCCAGAAGATTCCTCCAACAGACCCAGGACCTCCTGGCGAGGCTTCCCGGGTCTGGCTCGGCCTCCCGGGTGAATACCCTCCCCGCCCAGGCGCAAACAAAACTGCCCCGCCCCCACGCGGCTTTCTAGGTAAAAGTTCCAGTCTTCACCCGGTCCCGAACGCCGCAGCCCCGCCCCGAAAACAAGCAAACTTTCCGGCCCCGCCTTTCCCGCCAAACCTCCGACCCCGCCCACATGCGCGTCACTAATCCCACCCCTTTCCGGCGTCGGACCGCCCCGGCCAACTTCCTGACCCCACCCACAGGAGCCCCAGGCAGCAGTGTAAACCCGCCCCCTCCTCCTCACCTTCTGGCACCGGTCCCGCCCCCGGCTCTTCAGCCAACACTCTGGCCCCGCCTCCGATTTGCTGAGCCCAGCCTCTGGTCACGCCCCTGGCTCCGCCCCCGCACGTCAGTATCTAGCCCCGTCCCCGGCGCCCCTAAATTCTGGCTCAGCGGCCGCTTTCCTGAGAAACTTTTTGGCTCCGCCCTACCGGCGCTTGGCCCCGCCCTCACTCTCGGGTCAGCCCCTGGCCCTGCCCCTGACTTCCTGGACCCACTTCCAGGACAAGCGAAACTTTCCGGCCCCGCCCCTAGTCCGCTGGGTACTACTTGGCCCCGCCCCCAGCATAACTTTTTTCGGGCCCGCCCCAGCTGCACACCAAAGCTCTGGACGCGTCCGGAGCCCGGCCCACCCAGGCCCTGCCCCGCCAACGGCCCGCCCCCTCAGCACCCTTCTAGCTTCCCATGTGGGCGTCCAGTCCCCGCCCCCCGCGGAGTACTCTGACCCCGCCCCCGCGGGCGGCGGGCTACCCGCCAGCGCCCGCTCCCCCCCACGTGGGGCGTCAGGCCCCGCCCTCTCCGGGCGCGCTCCTGGCCCCCTCCCCCGGTCACCTGTCCCGGAGACCCCGCGGCGTCCGCGACTCCGGCTCCTTCGGCCTCCGCGTCTGCAGCTCCCGGGCCACGCGCGTCACTTCCTGCCTGCACCACGTGAAGAGGGGAACTAAAGCGGGTTACTTCCGGTTTTGCAGGCCTGTTTCCGGGAGCCTTAAAGGCGCGGCGCTCCCCACCCCAACACCCCCTCCTCCCACCCCTCTCCCCGGGTGGAGGCGGGAGTGGGTTGAGCAAGTGCACAGAGTGTTCTGCAAGCTTGTGAGTCTTCTACCTGAATGACCTCCTTGCAGGGAAAGGAAACACCATCCTCTCTCTGGCCTCTACTTGCGTCTCCTCTCCTGGTTGCTATAAGTAGGTGCCAGGCGCTGGACTGACTCCTCGAAGCCTGACCTGCCAGCTTATGCTGGGGAGTGGGCTGGGGCTCCCCCACCCTCCTGCCAGTGAAACCTTACAGTTAGTTGTAGGAGCTCACAGTTTTCAACGAAAAGAATCTCTTCTTCATCCTCTGAATCAGCATTGAGTGCCAGCTCTGTACTGGGGGAATAGGGAAGTGGGGGTTAAGGTGATAGAACAAGGCAGACCCCGTCCCTGGACTCATGAGGGAAGGCAGAAGTACATGTGAAATGACAGAAAACAGAACTGAGGGGGATGTCTTCGGAGTGAGACGAGGATAGTGTGAGAGGGGGTGGCTACAGGCAGGGAACACAGCCTTTGCAAAGGCCCCGTGGTGAGTGAACTTGGTGCATTCTAGGGAACTGGAAGATGCTCAGAGGAGGATCTTCAGGGTTTGGCTACAGAGTCAAGAGGGTTACATACATTAAACAAAGCTTAGACATAATTTACCTATTGTTACAAGTGATGATAAATGCTATGGAACATCCTTACAGGAGGTGATGACCGTTGTAAGTGGGCAGACCAGATTTCCTGAGATTTCTGATTAGTTTTGTGGTTTAAAACATGGAAAGGGAATATACATGGCAATCCACTGCCCCTATATGGTTATCATTAACAGCCTTTCAGAGACCTTCTTACACATACAGTTTAATTCTTAAAATTCCCCAAGAATTCCTTGGTGGGCCAGTGGGTAGGACTGGGTGCTTTCACTGCTGGGGCCCACGTTCAATCTCTGATCAGGAACTAAGATCCCACAAGCCTCGAGGCACAGCCACAAAAAATAAATAGATAAATAAAAATTTTTCAAATCCCTACCAAAATCACTGCATCACCTGCTTCAGTTGTGTATTCAATTGTCACCTCTTCTTAGAGGTCTTCCTTGAAACCACTCATTTGAAAATTTGAAACTGAAAACCTCTCATCCTTTTCTCTTTCAATTTTCTTTTTCCATCTTACTGTTCTCCCTCTAAACTACCATGTTTCACTTTCTTCTCTTGTTCAGTCTCTATAAGTCATGTCTGACTGCAACCCAATGGACTGCAGCACCCCAGGTTTCCCTGCCCTTCACTATCTCCTGTAGTTTGCTGAAATTCATATCCATTGAATCAGTGATGCCATCCAACCATCTCATCCTCTGTCACCTTCTTCTCCTTCTGCCTTCAATCTTTCCCAGCATCAGGTTATTTTCCAATGAGTCAGTTCCTCAGATCAGGTGGCCGAAGAATTGGAGCTTCAGCATCAGGAACAGTCCTTCCAGTGAATACTGAAGGTTGATTTCCTGTAGGATTGACTCTTTACTGACTTTCTTCTCAACTATATTGTCTGTGTTATGTCCCCAGTAACTCCAACAGCGCTTCATACATGAGAGTCTCTCAAAACCTATTTGTTTAATGAATGAGTGATTTGGGGGGTGTGGTGGGGCGGAATTTAGGTCTCCGACCAGGAACTGAACCCAACCCTTGGCAGTGAGATCAAGGAGTCCTAAGCACTGGACCACCAGGGAAGTCCCTGACTGAATCTTGGCTGGTACTATTATTTTCTTCCTTGTTTATGAAACAAAACGTATGCACTGAAATTCTATACCTTGAAGTTAGCTGTGGATGGTTGACCATCTTTTAAACTGCCATGTGACATTCTGTCCTACAGATGAGCCATAATTTAGTCCAACTGGTCTCACAGATGTTCCAGTTGTTTCCAACTGGGGAGGTTGCCAACAATGCAGCATTGAATTTCTGTAGGCACATAGCTTGATGAGTACATGATCTGTGATCTTGTTCAAAAAAGGACTCCTAATGTCATGATTAGGCTGTTGACTCTGAAGCCAGAAGATCTGGCTTTGAATCCTGGCTCTGTCACTTAGCAAATGTGTGATCTTGGGCAACATGCAAAGGAAACTTCTCTGGCCTTCATCTTCTCCATCTGTAAATGGAGATCATAACACCATCCTACTGTTCGTTGTACAGAATTCAATTGATTCATGAATTAATCGACACCCAGTGCTTGGCCTGAAATAAAGTTCTCAATAAATGGAAACCATTCTTCTGGCTTCTAGGAAGGCAGATTGCTGAATCAGAGGTTAATTCCCATTTTTATTTTCCGGGGGGAAAAAAATGAGGAGAGGTGGACCCAGGGTATGCAGAGCCTGAAGTTTATACCAAGTTGGAAACCCTTCTGGAAAAAAAAAGAGGAGGGAATTCCCTGGTGGTCCAGTGGTTAGGGCTTGGTGATTTCACTACTGGGGCCAGGGTTCAATCCCTAGTCGATGAATTAAAGTCCCACAGCCTTAAAAAAAATGTACAAGACTGCAAGGGCACCTCCCAGGGTGTTGGGAAAAGCTGTGGAAATTGAGGGACCCAAAGGCTTGCACTTCCTGCATTTCATAGGAGAGCCACCTCTGATGGTGGCCGCTCAGGAAAGACCTAGTACTCACTTCCACTTTTCCAGGCAGGACAGGAGCGCACAGTCCTCTGGCAGCCTCACGGACAGGGCTATTCCCACTCTTTGATCTTTGCCAATATCATAGCCAAAGAGTCTATCTCAGCGTAGTTTGAGTGGCCACTCTCTCTCTGATTAAAAAGTGAAATTTCAGGCTTCCCTGGTGGCTCTGTGGTAACGAATTCGCCTGCCAATGCCGGACACACAGGTTTGATCCCTGATCCTGGAAGATCCCACATGCCTAGAGCAACTGAGCCCATGAACCATGACTACTGAAGCCCACGCACCCTAGAGCCCGTGCTCCGCAACAAGAGAAGGCACTGCAATGAGAAGCCCGTGCTCCCCACAACTGAAGAAAAGCCCACGCAGCAATGAAGACCCAGCACAGCCAAAAATGGATTAATTATTTTTTAAAAGGGAAACTGA